TGAGTGTAGATGATCCTGTAGAAGTAACTGAGTCTTCGGAATCTGCTGAACCCACTGTCGAGGCAAAAACTGGGACACTGTTAAGAGATGAGCCTGACGTTGTACCCAAGAGTTGGCAAAAACATGGTCAGGACCACACTGAGACCAATATTAGTCAGCACAATGCGGCTGTTCATGAGCCTTGCACCCTGAACATACCTGTAGAACATGCTAAACTTGGAAGTATTCCAGTTTCTGAACCATGTTCACAATTAGAAGCAAGAGATACTTGTGATAAATCAGGTACCTCAGACACAAGCAATAAAGGTTTCTCACCATCTAAACAAAAGGAAAAGAGTTCTCAGCCTTTGCTTTCTCAGAGTTCACGGTCTCAAAAACAAGAATTTACTCAGCGTGGTCTGGCACATACATTAATTAACACAGCTAAAAGCATGGCAGCAATAGTTTCCAAATGTCCAGACTCTACATCTGAACAATATCAAAGACCTCAGACTCAGAGTAAAAGGACAAACATGATATCCTCAAGGATCTATCAGGCTCCAGTGCCTTTCATGAAGAAATCAGTCAGCATCGGTCCCTGTAGGACCCTCTCTGGAATCGGGCAACCACGTCCTTTCCTAAAAAAGTCCATTAGTTTAGGTTCTAGATGGGAACATTTTGAAAATCCAAGAACTTATGTCTCTGAGGCCGGCTACAGAGATGAATTTCCCCAACCAGACATAAGGCTCAAATCATACAGTTTGGGTCGCACTCCTGCATGTTACTATCCCATGTCTGGCCCATCATGGCGAGGGACAGTGCCCTTTCAGCCTCCTTACATCTGAACAATATCAAAGACCTCAGACTCAGGGTGACTGGACAAACATGATATCCTCAAGGATCTATCAGGCTCCTGTGCCTTCCATGAAGAAATCAGTCAGCATTGGTCCCTGTAGGACCCTCTCTGGAGTCGGGCAACCACGTCCTTTCCTAAAAAAGTCCATTAGTTTAGGTTCTAGATGGGAACATTTTGAAAATCCAAGAACTTATGTCTCTGAGACCTGTTACAGAGATGAATTGGGACCGTATGGACACGGGCACCTACGCCAGTCTCTCTCTATCACCCCAACCTTACTCAGCTCACCAGAGACCACCGAGGAGAGTGAGATGCACAAGGCAGACAAAGACGTGAGAGAACAGAGGTCCAAAAGGTGAAGCTGACACACAAATGCATGAGGCAAGACCTCAGCAAAGACAGCTAGAACGGTTACCATTTTCTTATTTTGTTTTGTACAAATTTATATCACTGTCATTTTGTACATCTCACTGTGTATTGTTGCATATGTGTGTGTCTAGAAGAAATACCTCTGTAGATGAGAGTTACGAGTGGGATGCTGTGGAATGCTCTGTGGATCCCAACATCCTGGAGGCCATGAAGATGGAGCGGCCCCATGCAGGTTTTGGGCGAGGCAGGGAGTTCAGGCAAGATCGCCCCTGCTCCACTACTGGCCTCCAGGACTTCCAGAGTAAACGTAAGAACTTCATCCTTCAGCTCTTTGAGAATGTTTGGTCATTCCCCACACCAAATGTAATGCCAAATGAAGTTTGCCATCCTGCTCAATTTATCTTCCTCATCCTCCTCCTGCTCCTTTCCTCTCCTCTCAAGGCCTGTACTCCGTAAGCCCTCCCATAGTATCCCAGCCTCCTCAGCACCGGTACGTCGTTCCCTTAGTTGAGGCCCGCTTCAATGCCCTGAGACAGGAGTTCCAGGAGTATCGCAGGACCCAGCAATCCTGCTCCCAAGACTCCTGCATCCCCCCTGACAATCCAAGAACTTATGTCTCTGAGACCTGCTACAGAGATGAATTTCCCCAACCAGACATAAGGCTCAAATCATACAGTTTGGGTCGCACTCCTGCATGTTACTATCCCATGTCTGGCCCATCATGGCGAGGGACAGTGCCCTTTCAGCCTCCTACCAACTACAGTCTAGAGAGATGTCAGCATATTGAGAGAGCTGACATGCAACCCCCCTATCACATACCTGGTCCCTCAGCCCCAGATCCACCACAACACATGGAATCATCCCTGCCTTCCAGGAGGGAATCAGATCCACGTCGACAGGGAACAGTTTTTCCAGATTCCTCTAGGTGGCCTCTGTCTTATCAGGAAACACTCAGGTCAGTTCAGCATAAGAATGTCCCACAAGACCCCTCTCGACATTTTGGCCCTACCAGACCAGTGGCCAGGGTGGACTACGTGCATCCTGCAGAACCCAGAATGGGTCTGCCAAGGCCTTTCCTACCCAGAGGTTACAGCTGGCCCTCACCGTATCATACATCCTTCCCCCGACGAGAGCAAGACTTTCCGAGACAGGTGGACAAAGGGATGGGTGCAGTTAGGGGCTTCACAGAGACAGAAGGCCGGGATATAAGAGGTGATGGGGGCAGAGCCAGTTACGCCAGCCAGAGCAGTGGAAGGGGTAGTGTGGGACCGTATGGACACGGGCACCTACGCCAGTCTCTCTCTATCACCCCAACCTTACTCAGCTCACCAGAGACCACCGAGGAGAGTGAGATGCACAAGGCAGACAAAGACGTGAGAGAACAGAGGTCCAAAAGGTGAAGCTGACACACAAATGCATGAGGCAAGACCTCAGCAAAGACAGCTAGAACGGTTACCATTTTCTTATTTTGTTTTGTACAAATTTATATCACTGTCATTTTGTACATCTCACTGTGTATTGTTGCATATGTGTGTGTCTAGAAGAAATACCTCTGTAGATGAGAGTTACGAGTGGGATGCTGTGGAATGCTCTGTGGATCCCAACATCCTGGAGGCCATGAAGATGGAGCGGCCCCATGCAGGTTTTGGGCGAGGCAGGGAGTTCAGGCAAGATCGCCCCTGCTCCACTACTGGCCTCCAGGACTTCCAGAGTAAACGTAAGAACTTCATCCTTCAGCTCTTTGAGAATGTTTGGTCATTCCCCACACCAAATGTAATGCCAAATGAAGTTTGCCATCCTGCTCAATTTATCTTCCTCATCCTCCCTCCTGCTCCTTTCCTCTCCTCTCAGGCCTGTACTCCGTAAGCCCTCCCATAGTATCCCAGCCTCCTCAGCACCGGTACAGTCGTTCCCTTAGTGAGGCCCGCTTCAATGCCCTGAGACAGGAGTTCCAGGAGTATCGCAGGACCCAGCAATCCTGCTCCCAAGACTCCTGCATCCCCCCTGACCCAGACTCTGACTCCAGCTCCGCACTTCTTTGAGAACCTTACCTTGGTCCGTTACCTCCCTTTAATTCCTTTGATCTATAATATCCATATTGATCTTAAACTTGTTTTAACTCAGGCTATCTGCATAATACTTCACTTTATAGGCACAAATGTGCGTGTCACTATATATATAACATATAAGATTCTGAAAGTGATATATTCACATATGGCTTCAAGAACAGGAATTTTTGTGTTAGCAGACATTTATAAAATGCCTTACTTATTCCCATGTTAAATTCAATGCAAACCCAAGGTTTTATGTGGTTTATCTCTTGTAGGTAACTAACTACAATCCCTGTGTTTATATTTCCAGAGCATCCCAAGAAAGAAGAAATTGGTTTTAAGTACAAACCTAACAAATCCTGAGAAATCAAAGGATCCAGACTTGAATATCCTTGATGTATATACATCCTGGAGCCGAATAAAGAGCATTGCCATGATGCTGTAAATGTGCATTCAGTTCCTACTGGTTGTTCTAAACTTGAAAAATGTATAGTATATGGAATGTAGCTTTTGTATCTCTGTCTTTCGTTGACTTTGTATTTATCTGTTGTCGTCAATCCCAGATTGCACTTCTGTCTGTCTAGACTAAAAGATAAGGATACAGAAGTACAGTTTTAACAGAAAATAAAAAAAAAACTAATTAGAAGTATCATACCGTTTTGATACAGATTTTGTATCTGAAATTAATATCCATTGTGGATAATGGACATGCTGGAAATATAACTGTACTTCCAAAGGGTTTTATTACATTCTCCAATCAGCAGAACCAAAACAACAGTATAGCATAAAGTCTGCTTTGACAATCAGATACTGCAGCCAAGAAAACATATATTTCAAGCAACTGAAATATATAATGTTGTTGTATTTTACATATACATGAGTGCATGTATATCTGAGTATAATGTTGCTGTTGCATATTTGTTTACCATGTGTATATTTGAGCTCCATTCTTGTGTATATTTCACCATATCTTAAAAAATAGTTCATCTTAAACCCTTTGTCATTTTCATTTTGGTCAAGTCCCAAATTCTGTTATAATTTAAATCAAAAATTCAGTGCCAATATTGAGTTAAGAAGCTTAGGCTCCTTAATACTCATTCAGACTCTCCTCACAATTTATTTGTACTCTTTACTTTTGTAACTAACTTCCCCAAAGAGAAACATATTTGCAGCCAGTTCTCTTCTATAATTCTTCTATATCTGTTTCACTTTAATACAAAGAACTCAGCTGAATGACGTTGAAATGGATATTTAAAATGGCTGAATCAAAAACATAGATGCTTATGGATCTTGAAATCCATCTCAGGCTCTTTGTCAGTCTGTGCTTAGTGTTGTAAATATTTTTACTTCTCTTTTTTTCATTTTGTACAACTGTTCATGAATGCGTTGAGAAAGCCTGAAACTGTCTTATATTTAAGATGCTGCTGTACATTTTTGTAATACATTTAAAGGTTTCTTGACATTTTTGAAAACGAGTTTAAAGTTTTGTTTTAAAAAAAAGTGTTTTATACCTTTTATATATATATATATATATTTTTTTATTTTTTTTTTATTTTTTTTTAATAAATGTTGACACTCGTTTTTTTATGTTTGTAAAATAAAATGTTCCACTAAAATGTTGCTGTCAAAATATTAACTTTTCAATTATTTACTCATCATCTACTTCAAAAATAAGTATATGGTTTGTTTACATGTAGAGTGGGAGATTAAGTCTATGCTATATGATACATAGTACAACACAGGAGTTGCATTGTATGCTTTTCTTTATTTGCTCTCTATATGTCCACATAATAGCGGATTCGGGTCAACCTAAAGTTAAGTGTGAAAGCCTTCTGGTGTCTTGCATCTCACAGGAATCACTTGGCAGTCATGCGCATGACGTGCTTGACCATGTTCCCGATGCCATCAAAGATGTAATGGTAGTGAAAGTCAGTCTCCCACATGAAAGTTGGAGTGCTGATCACCTTGTTTTTCTCATCCACATAGGCCTCGTGAGATGGGCAGTTAAGGGAAAAATCATGTTTTACACTTGAAAAAATGAATAAGAAGTAAAAAAATATGTTAAAAGTGAAAGGATATGTAAGGTTCACGGGTGTTGTGACGGGCCCCCATGCTCTTGACCGCCTGCACCATGGTGGTGTTGGGCCAGCGGCCCCAGCGGCTGCTCTCGTCACGTTCGTAACCCATCGTGACTTCCAGATTGGGCAGCACTCGGCACGCCAGGAGAGGAGCCATGCTGGACAGACTGAGCCAAAGACAGAGCAGGATTCAGGTCAGTTGAAAAACATTGAAACAATTTAATTGAATCATATTTACAGACCACAAGTGAAAATGCTTCTATTTGACATTTTTCTGATTTAAAGCAACTGTATGTAGCTCTGTGTATTTTTGCGACTTTGGAGCACCCTACAATTAAGTGAGTGGACTTCACTGTCATAATTACGGAGGATAGTTGGGCCCGTGCATTTGTTGCTGCCGTAAAGCGGTCCGCTCTTTTAGCGGTATTTCGTTCCCCGCAGTGTTGCCAACTTAGCAATTTTGTTGCTAAATTTAGCAACTTTTCAGACTACCCTAGCAACTTTTTTTTCAAAAAGCACCTAGCAACAAATTGAGCTATTTTTAAAAAGTTTTTGGCAACGTTTAGCAACTTTTGTAAATGATAAAAAAATACATATTTTCATCTAAATTACACAAAAAGAGGAAACCATTGAACAGCTAGCCAGCCAAGCAGCACATCAACCTGGAGAGAGCTAGAGAAAGATGCCGTACAAAACAGTACAAACAAATGTGCATTAAGTTGCTAGTTCCAATTGGTCAATAATAAATGCACATTTATGATACAGCATGTTATTAGCTTGTAATTGTTGTTCAGTTAGGTACACTGTAAGAAAAAATATGTGGAAAAACTGAAAAAGTACTAGTCATTTTCTGCCAGGATGTTATCCATTAAGTTGTAACCTGAAGTTTAAGTATGTTTAGATGGACTCCATAGTGAACTCTTGATGGTCTATACGAGCATCTCGCCCGTCCGGATAATGCACTTCTTTTGGCATGGATTTCTTTTCAGTGACATTTATATTTGCATTAGCATTCATCAGCTAAAAGACTTCTCTCTCACAGGTTCTTGACTACTCCGTGGCCTCCAGGGAAGATGACGGCGTCAAAGCTGCTGACGTCCAGTTTAGACAGATCGTTCATCTGCATCATGCCCTGACCATGGCTGAATCGCGCAGACTCTATCATCATGTTCCTGCGGAGAGAGAACTCTTTTATCAGATGATCATGGTACTTTAAAATATACTTTAATGGGAACTATCACAACAATCATGTAACGCTCTTCGAAAAAAATTCCATGCAGCACATCCAAAAAGCAATGACATTCCCATAAAACATGATGTTTCCTTGGTACTTTTTTGTTATATTTTCACAAGATGAGTGAAATGCGCAGAATGGGAATATGAAAGGTTGTGTAAACGGTATATTTAATGTTATATTTCATTTTAATGATGTCTACCTGTTGTCACTTGATGATGGCTGCATCTTCATGTGGTCCATGACGTGCATTTGCTGCTGGTTTGGGGCAAAGATCTGAAAACGGGCTCCATTACGGCTCAAGTGGTACATGGTGCTTCAAAGAGACACGGTATTATTTATTAATGATACTTGATTCTGATTGGTCAATTACAGCATTTAACTGTCAAAAATATTTGTAAGCTCAAGCACTGAACTAAACCAGGTAACCAAAATAAATAATTTCAGCTCGGAATTTTTTTTTTTAATTTATTTGGCAAGTAGTCTTACTGAAGTTTATTTAGTGATAATGACCGAGTGACTGTATATTATCCCATACATAATCCACACAGGTCCATACGTTATAAAAATATAAGAGCATTCAGCCATTGACAGACATGTTTTGAATGGTGCTACTGCAAACGATCATTTTTAAATAATTTTTTTAAATGACTATAATTATTACTTTTCCAATTTATAAGATGTTTCTCAAGAAAAATATCTCAGATCTATTTCTACCTCATTTGCGAATCGTATTTTCTTGGCTTAGTCAAAAATGTAACAAAATTCACTGATGAATATTGTTATTTTTGTAGCTTAAAACTACAAAAATAGATTTCTCAATAGGGAACCAAAACTAAATGTAATCTCAGTCTTATCTGACTCGAAAGTACTTATTTGTAAACATTAGTTAACTACATTAGTTAACATGAACTAAGAATGAACAATACTTTTATTGCACTTATTAGTCTTAGTTAATGTTAATCTCAACATTTACTACTACATTATTTCACATGAACATTTTTAACTAACATTTAACAAAGGTTAATACATGTTGTAAAATATATTGCTCATTGTTAACAAATGAGACCTTATTGTAAATGGAGCTTGTTTTAAGGATTCTTCGATGTTTTTACTGATAAACGACCAAAATGATGATACGGGGAATGATATTTTGAAGCGCACACTGCTGAATACTTACTACGCAGCCTCATGGATGTCAGTTCCATCCCACCAACCGCAGCCTGAGAACACCTTCAAAAGCAGATCCAGTTACAAATTCAGAACCAGACAGAGACTATATATCATATAGCGAACAAGAGATTCAAGACTGAATGCTTCCATCGTTTTTAACCTGCCAGTTTGTGTGTGTACTTACCACAGCGACGTTGGTGTTGCCCCAGTTGCCCCAGTCTCCCCCATGATGCATCAGGCAGGCGGGTTGGCGCACCAGCATGGCTGCGGCCTGCTTGGCGAGGTGTGCCCGTGATGCCAACATGATCACACTGCTGAGTTTACAACACAGAGATCAACCGCTAGAGAGCTGTGCAGACTGAACTGAACGTGTCCGATCCTGCAGCAGAGGAAGCCCTGCTCTTTTATACTAATGTTGTATGTGAGACGTCACTCTGTAAGCTACGTTTCTGAGAAGATAAGATACTTTGTCTGAACAACCCTTTTCCTTTCTTCATTGCTTATCTAATAATACCTTCCTCAATTACCTTATTACCTTAAGTCATTTGGTCAACACCCGGCCGTTGATGCTTTGCTGGGGCTGCGGCCGTTTGCCTGCATTTACCTCTTTAAACAGTCTCTCTGTCCCGTTTAATTGCTTGATTTAATTTTGATAAATTGTTATAATTTATAATTTAGTTTTGACTGCTTTTATTGTCCTCATTTGTAAGTCGCTTTGGATAAAAGCATCTGCTAAATGACTAAATGTATAATAAACTAAAACTAAAATATGCATTTATAAGTTATATAATATACATATATAAAATGTTATATTTTGGGTCCACACTTAAAAATGTTTAGGGTCCACACTTAAAATCTTTAGCCCTAAAACTTTTTAGAGAGAGAGAAAAAACAAAAGTTTTCAAAAGAAGTTTTCACTCAAAACATTTTGCATATATTATAATGAAATATAAAACTTTTCATTGGTGCTCTCAGACCTTTAGTATAGTAATTATAGTACTATTTTGATTCGTTTTTTTACTTATCAGTTTTTCTTTTGTATTTTAGTTAAAATTTTAGTCATTTTGTTGTGTTTTTGTCATTTTTAGTCGTTTTTGGGGGTTTTATATGTAGTTTTAATCATTTTTTATTTCAATCAACTAGATTAAAATTAGAAATGTTGCCTTGCCAAGTAGTTACAATAAAAAAAAATTTATTTTTATTTTATTTCAAGCATCATCATTTTTTATGGTTTTAGTTAACTATATTAACCCTTTGTTGTATTGCCTAAAAACTGCCATGTGTAACATCATTATCGTGTATTGATATATTTATCAAACAATTACAACTTTACAAGCAATGTGTTACTAAAATGTTTTATTGGCTAAACTGAATTAGAGAAACGTGTTGAACGTTTGCTGTTTGAGGCGTCTAAAGCATCTGATTGAATTAAATTGAATGAGATAGTGCCCTCTAAACCCCATTACTTAATAAGGCTCTTAAACGCAGTAATACTATGTGGTGTCTGCTGGAGGCCCGGGCACTGATCCAATGGGTTGTAGTCGTCAGTTAGAGATCCTACAGGACACACTATAAAACCTTCTCAACGGCCAGATTACACTAGTGCACTACAGATGAAACATACTGAGCTTTAGTGAAGAAATGAACATGGAGTTCAGATATAGGCCTTTGGTGCAAAACACCTTCAGATTCCTCAAGGACGCAAAGAATTATACAAAAGCATGTCATAAATGGTGGCGCTAGTGCATTTATTTAAAGAGAAGTACAGTATTAACAGTAATAAGAATTTAAACTGCTTTGTCAAACGAACACCTTGTGAAACCTTCAGGGAAATTCACGCCAGTGTATATGTCATCAAATCGAGGCATTATAAGAAATTTGATCGAAAGTTTTCACGTATATGTCTTGTCTCTCTCAGAGTTTATGGATCTTCCTGTTGAAGGACGTGCAGCTTAGTTCAGCTCTCGTCTCGTCTTTGACATTTGGCTGCTTCTCTGGAAAGATTCTTATTTAGTTCATTAGGGATTCAAACGTGATCATTCACTCATTCCTTACGTCTCTCTGGTGAAGAAAAAGTACATATTTTTGACCTTCCTTCAGCTAATAGAGACTGACTGAGGTGTTTAAGCCTTTTCATAGAGTAAAAAAAGACCGAACCGTAAGACCTTCTAATCAGCAGACACGATGGCACAATGACAGACAGCGTAACCTTCACTGCAGAGGAGGGTTAAGAGTTCACCGCTCTCCCGAGACGTAGTCTGTGCACGTCCTGCGCTCTCCTCTGCCGCTCTGACATAGTGCTGCTGAGACCGTGTTTGATGGCTGGGAGAAGCACAGTTTCTCCTTTACCGCCGTGACTCGGGATCCTGGGGGTGACGTGGATTAGTCTCATCCATCACCTTTATTTCCACTTAGCCTTAACCAATTGTTTGCTAATAGTGAAACATGATAAGAGGATTTTCGCTCCAGGAATAGAGGTAGATCTGGAGTGACTAATAGTGAAAAGATCAATCCGCACATAATCTGAGGGTCATCAAAGTTGAAGTATGTGCAGATGGACTCCACAATGACTCTTGATGGGTTATATGTGCATCTGGCCTGTCAGGATAATGCACTACTTTTGGAATGTATCTGCATTGATTTCTTTTCAATAACATTTATATTTGCATTAGCATTCATCAGCTAAAAGACTGTCTCTCTCACAGGTTCTTGACTACTCCGTGGCCTCCAGGGAAGATGACGGCGTCAAAGCTGTTAACGTCCAGTTTGGACAGATCGTTCATCTGCATCATGCCCTGGCCGTGGCTGAATCGCGCAGACTCCATCATCACGTTCCTGCAGAGGAAACAGTTTGTTATCACATGGTCACGGTACTTTAAAATATACTATATTGTGAACTATCACTACAATCATGTAATGCTACTTCATAAAAAACCATGCTGCACATCCCAAAAATCGATGACATTCCCATAAAACATGATGTTTCCATGGTTATATTTCCACAAGTTGAGTGAAATATGCGGAATGGTTATATGAAAGGTTGTGTAGTTAGTAAATGTGATGTTATATTTCATTTTAATGATGTCTACCTGTTGTCACTTGATGATGGCTGCATCTTCATGTGGTCCATGACGTGCATTTGCTGCTGGTTTGGGGCAAAGATCTGAAAACGGGCTCCATTACGGCTCAAGTGGTACATGGTGCTTCAAAGAGACACGGTATTATTTATTAATGATACTTGATTCTGATTGGTCAATTACAGCATTTAACTGTCAAAGATATTTGTAAGCTCAAGCACTGAACTAAACCAGGTAACCAAAATAAATAATTTCAGCTCGGAATTTTTTTTTTAAATTTATTTGGCAAGTAGTCTTACTGAAGTTTATTTAGTGATAATGACCGAGTGACTGTATATTATCCCATACATAATCCACACAGGTCCATACGTTATAAAAATATAAGAGCATTCAGCCATTGACAGACATGTTTTGAATGGTGCTACTGCAAACGATCATTTTTAAATAATTTTTTTAAATGACTATAATTATTACTTTTCCAATTTATAAGATGTTTCTCAAGAAAAATATCTCAGATCTATTTCTACCTCATTTGCGAATCGTATTTTCTTGGCTTAGTCAAAAATGTAACAAAATTCACTGATGAATATTGTTATTTTTGTAGCTTAAAACTACAAAAATAGATTTCTCAATAGGGAACCAAAACTAAATGTAATCTCAGTCTTATCTGACTCGAAAGTACTTATTTGTAAACATTAGTTAACTACATTAGTTAACATGAACTAAGAATGAACAATACTTTTATTGCACTTATTAGTCTTAGTTAATGTTAATCTCAACATTTACTACTACATTATTTCACATGAACATTTTTAACTAACATTTAACAAAGGTTAATACATGTTGTAAAATATATTGCTCATTGTTAACAAATGAGACCTTATTGTAAATGGAGCTTGTTTTAAGGATTCTTCGATGTTTTTACTGATAAACGACCAAAATGATGATACGGGGAATGATATTTTGAAGCGCACACTGCTGAATACTTACTACGCAGCCTCATGGATGTCAGTTCCATCCCACCAACCGCAGCCTGAGAACACCTTCAAAAGCAGATCCAGTTACAAATTCAGAACCAGACAGAGACTATATATCATATAGCGAACAAGAGATTCAAGACTGAATGCTTCCATCGTTTTTAACCTGCCAGTTTGTGTGTGTACTTACCACAGCGACGTTGGTGTTGCCCCAGTTGCCCCAGTCTCCCCCATGATGCATCAGGCAGGCGGGTTGGCGCACCAGCATGGCTGCGGCCTGCTTGGCGAGGTGTGCCCGTGATGCCAACATGATCACACTGCTGAGTTTACAACACAGAGATCAACCGCTAGAGAGCTGTGCAGACTGAACTCAGCGTGTCTGATCCTGCAGCAGAAGCCCAGCTCTTTTATACTAATGTTGAATGCGAGACGTCACTCTGTAAGCTACGCTTCTAAGAAGATAAGATACTTTGTCTGAACAACCCTTTTCCTTTCTTCATTGCTTATCTAATAATACCTTCCTCAATTACCTTATTACCTTAAGTCATTTGGTCAACACCCGGCCGTTGATGCTTTGCTGGGGCTGCTGCCGTTTACCTGCATTTACCTCCCTAAACAGTCTGTCTGTCTGACCCGTCTGACCTTTCGCCTCACTCGCAGCTCCACGGTTGCCTAAACTCTTGAAGTTATAATTATAATAAATAAAAAATAAAATATGCGTTTATAAGTAATATATAAAATGTTATAATTTATTTATTTTTTTACATGTACAAGAGTTTAGGCAATTTCACAATTTATTATATATATAATATAATATATATCATTTATTATTTAGGGTCCACACTGAAAATCTTTAGCCCTAAAACTTTTTAGAGAGAGAGAGAAAATGTCTATGCAGTTTTTATGTCAGTTGTAGTTATTTTAGTACATAAACTAGATTAAAATAAGAAATGTTGCCTTGGCAAGTAGTTACAATAAACATTTTTTATTTTATTTCAAGAAACACATTTTTATATAGTTTTAGTTAACTATAATAACCCTTTGTTGAATTGCCTAAAACCTGCCATATGCAACATTGTAAAAGAAAAAAAAAAGACTGACATTATTCTGTATCAAACAATTAAAACTTTACAAGCAATGTGTTACTAAAATGTTTTATTGGCTAAACTGAATTAGAGAAACGTGTTGAACGTTTGCTGTTTGAGGCATCTAGACCATCTGATTGAATTAAATTGAATGAGATAGTGCCGTCTAAAACCCATTATTTAATAAGGCTCTTAAACGCAGTAATACTATGTGGTGTCTGCTGGAGGCCTGGGCACGGATCCAGTTGGTTGTAGTCATCAGTTAGAGATCCTACAGGACACACTATAAAACCTTCTCAACGGCCATATTACACTAGTGCACTACAGATGAAACAAATGAACACTTACAGGTCACTGCATGAGTCCAGCACTAACAACAGGAACAAGAACTCTACAAAAAAAAAAACACAGTGTAATAAAATGTTGCTGGTGCTTTTATTTAATGAGAGTTACAGTAGAATTTAGACTGCATTGTCAAGCTCAAATCATCCAAACACATATCGATGTATCTCACAAAATCACGGTTTTATAAGAGATTTGATTGTATATATTTCATGTATATATTGTGTCTGTCTTAAGAGTTTACGGATCTTCCTGTTGAAGGACGGGCAGCTTAGCTCTCGTCTCGTCTTTGACATTTGGCTGCTTCTCTGGAAAGATTCTTATTTAGTTCATTAGGGAATCAAACGTGATCAACAGCCATTCACTCATTCCTCACGTCTCTGTGGTGAAGAAAGAATACATATTTTGACCTTCCTTCAGCTTATAGAGAGACTGACTGAGATGTTTAAGCCGTTTTATAGGGTAAAAAAAGACAGAACTGTAAGACCTTCTAATCAGCAAATAGGAAGGCACAATGACAGAAGCGTAACCTTCACTGCAGAGGAGGGTTAAGAGTTCACAGCTCTCCTGAGACGCAGTCTGTGCACGTCCTGCGCTCTCCTCTGCCGCTCTGACATGGTGCTGCTGAGACTGTGCTTGATGGCTGGGAGAAGCACAGGTTCTTTACCGGCGTGACTCGGGATCCTGGGGGGGAAATGACCAAAAACTGTTTCAGAATTAGGGACTGTGTGTGGTATTCTGTGATGATGATGATAATAGAAAAGCCAGCCTACTCTTTCTTTGGGAGTGGTTTGAGAGGTAGTTTTGGGAAATGCTCGAAAACTTCACCCCTAAAAAAGAATCAAATGTTTAATGTGCAAATAATGTGCCAAACATTTTATAGATGGATTCGGAATAGGTAAATAGAATTATATTATGCTATAATTAAATAACAGGGAAAGTAGGTGAATCTCACAAAAAATATGTCCAGGTCACATTTCACCCAAAAATCAAAAGAAAAAAGAAAATATATACATTAAATGAATTTTTGTCACATGTAAACACATTAAAGCCTGTTTTAGGAGCATTACGTTTTTTGGGGGGGGTTTGCATTCTGTTCCAGTGTTATTATTGTTATTATTATCATAGTATGCAATATAGTTCCATTTGTGCTTTACAATTTAAATGATGTATAAAAAAAATTATAATGACAAAATTATAATAAAAATGTATGTGTAAATATATATATATATATATATTAATGTAAAATATAGTTTATTTCTTTCTTTTGTAAATTATAAAAATTATAATTATAATTGTAAAAAAATATATAAAAAAGAAGAAAAAAATACATTGTTGATTATTTATTTTAATGACAATCCTGTTTTTAAAATTCATATTATTAAAATCATAGTCTGCATTATGTATACTTTCAATTACCATAAACACTTAAATTACTTCTAATTACTATAAAAATATATTACCATTATATTAAAAATTACATATATAACGGACGGACGGACGGACGGACGGACGGACGGACGGATGGATGATGGATAGATAGATAGATAGATAGATAGATAGATAGACAGACAGACAGACAGACAGACAGACAGAAGGACGGACGGACGGACGGATGGATGGATAGATGATGGATAGATAGATAGATAATAAGATGCAAAATATAGTTTCTTATTCCTTTCTTTAGATTTTGGTGAAATTATGACCAGGGTATTTCTTGACTGTTTTCGTGAGATTCACTCAGAATAACAGTGCACCTGCTGTTGTCACAGAGCGAGGCTCTTGCAAGAGAGAAAGCTTCAGCGGCCGATCTGTTTTTGGAGGTGACTTCTCTGAGGACCGTCTTGATCCGCAGCAGCTGAGTGAGGGAGCAAGAGTGTCAAGCATGGATATATGAATCACGACAGACAAGATGAAGCGCTGCTGACCTCCTGATACTGTGCGGTGTTGGCGTGATAGAGCTGCCGGATGATGAGTTCACACTCCTTCAGCGTCGGGGTGCGGGGCTGCTGGGACGGGCTGCAGGTGATCCTGAGAGGCAGCAGAGACGTGACTGCGCCTCCTCCTCCCGCCTCACATGCCTCCTCTGAGCTGGAGCGGGTCACAGCAGAAGGACGAGTGATTTAGATGGTACAGTGAGGTCAGTTAATCAGAGATGCTAACTCATGGGGTATAGAGATTCGGCACCTGATGAATCCACACTGGGAATTCTTCTCGGCTGAACCATCACTGCTGGATTTTGAGGAATTACTGTTGGACCATATGGACTCTGTGTGGAGCACACCAGGGTTATTAGAGTCAACTAAAACTACAATCAAAACCATAAAGAAAAAGGTGTTAGCTGAAATAAACATAATCTGAAATAAAATTTTATTTTAAAATATATTTTTTATTATATTTCATATAATAAAATGTATATTATATTTTATTTATATATTTTATTTCAGCTAGTTGCCAAGGCAACATTTCTCATTTTCTTTTGTTTAACTTCGTATTAAAATAACTAAAACTGAAATAAAAAGAAATTAAAATGATATCTACATATCTAAAAACTAATAAAAATGGCAAAAACACACAACAAAATTACTAAAACTTTAATTAAAATTAAAACAAAATATGAAATAAAACTAAAATATTAATAAAAACTATTATAAAACTATTTTAAAAGTATCTCAATAATACTAAAATGAATAAAAATGTGTCTACATCTTTAAAAACTAATAAAAATGACAAAAACATTAAAATTAAAACAAAATCTAAAAATAAAAACGAATTCAAAATATTAATAACTATAAAAGTATCACAATAGTACTAAAATAACACTGGATATCAGTTTACAGTAAACAACAAAACAAGATAAAATAAGAAGAAATAAGATCTTTCCTCTGCACAAGTTAATAGTCTTTAAGGGTCTTTCTAAAGCAAATTCTGCATCACTGCATGAGAATATTATGAATATAATTATGAAAAATGAGGCTTGATAAAACAGCTTACCTTTTGGAGAATTTTCATGTTCCATAATCAGCTGATACTGTAATTCTGTAAAAGAAAAAGTAAATATGCAAGTATGAAAATAATATGCAAGATTTTTCATTTTCAGGTGAAAACCATCGTTTTGTGCCCTATTTGTGTATAAACTATATTTGTGAGCCTGGAGCACAAAAGCAGTCTTAAGTCGCTGGGCTATATTTGTAGCAATAGCCAACAATACATTGTATGGGTCAAAATTATAAATTTTTCTTTTATGCCAAAAATCATTAGGATATTAAGTAAAGATCATGTTCCATGAAGATATTTAGTAAACTTCCTACCATAAATATATCAAAACTTCATTTTTGATTAGTGATATGCTTTGCTAAGAACTAAATTTGGACAACTTTAAAGGCGATTTTCTCAGTATTTTGATATTTTTTCAATGGAAAGCTTATTTATCCAGCTTTCAGATGATGTATAAATCTCAGTTTCGAAAAATTGACACTTATGACTGGTTCTGTGGTCCAGGGTCACATTTGATCGATTAAACTAGGTCATGGATGTAATGGAAACTAATGTTAAAATGTACCTTGTCATACTTTTAAATGTTTGCTTTAGAATGCCGGCCAATTTGCATCTTCATTACATATTAATTGATATCTAACATGTTAATTGGTTTTCTAAAATGTAAAAAAAAAAAAAACATTATTTGGCATTTAAAATGGAAATTAAAATATCATGTCAATATTACATTTTAAGATATTTTGTTCCTCAATCAGGTTTCGACTCCCATTTCCCTCTTTGTTTGAGGAAGTGACATCATCAGCAACCTTCTGACCACATGCTTCAAACAGAAGTAAGTTTGTTTTACAGTCTGTATCAGTATCTCATTACGTTTGGCCTCAGTGTTTCAACTGTTTTGGGGTACAAAGATTTGAACCTCTAGAATACTGGGGTAAAGTGTCCCTCTAATCGCGTGCAGTGTCTATGCCAGTTTTCACCTTTGGTATTTTAGACCCTAAGTGGTAAAATGTGATTTTTTTTTTCAAAGTTAAGCAACCTTCTCAAATGAAATTAGGACATTTTTTTGTTACAATGGCACCATTTCCTAAGAAGGACTGCAGTGCAGCACACCTTTATTAACACGCTTCAGGTCTTCAATTTCTGCATGCAGTCTCTCCAGCGTGTCTTTATGCTGTTGCTGGAGGAACAGAACATCTTTCTCCAGAGAGGCGATGTGTGTGCCCTGTGCATCTGTCCTGGGCTGAGCAGCTGCTTGTGGGCTCTTGATGTCCACAGGTGGAGATCTGACCATACAGTCGCTGGACAGATGTCTGGGGTATCTCACCCGGTCCAGATCTCGTACCCTGGTCCAGCTGGGCAGGTTTCGCAGGGGTGGCAGATTACTGGTGGACATGGTGCTACTGGGATGAATATTAGATTAATAATTCACTTTAGCACATGCCTTCTGTTTATAACCGCAATGTGGACCTTGCATGAGACAAAGATCTATCCATACGCATCTAAACGGCAAGTCAAGTCAAGTCACTTTTATTGTGTTCACATGTGCCTTGGTGAGTGAAATTCTTGGGAGCGTGCTCCAGACAGTGCAGAAACAATTTACATATAAACATACAGACCTCAACAGATGACAATGTGCAATATACACATACATATAGTCAGTACACACAGTGTACTATTAGACATACTTACAGTTAGCACTACACATTCTACACAGTATGTACACATTCTACATAATGTAGACATATATACACACAAAATATGCGAAGGTGCAACAGATTATATATGAACTGGATACGCAAAATGTCATGGATGTGCATTGGATGGTATCCAGTGGTAGCAAATAGATTATTGTATTTAAATGCATTGTGTATGTATAGCCCAGTGTTGAACTGTTGGAGTTAAAGTGCAGTGTTGGCATACCGTATTGTGGGAGTGTGCTGTAGGGTGTATATGTGCATCTTATCAAAACATATGCTATATAAGTCAGCTTGTTCTAAAATGTCGCTGCATAATATGGGTCTGTCTTCATTTACATACAACATAACTGTTAACTTTACCTCATTTCCATAATCGATGCCCCAGCTGATTTCGTCATCCATCACTTCCCGGCCAATATTTACTGAACATTCGTTCAAACGAAGCCCATTTATATGAATAATTGAGCAATCTGAGAAGATTTAAACAGGTATTTCTTCAAATGAAGGTCATTTCTGTCCTCTTTTCAGCTGAAATGCCGGTGAGAGTCGCGCGGTGTCGCTTCCTGGATGAATCAAACGTTGCTATGGCTACCGCGCGCATCGATTACGACGTGCATACGTATTGAGGAAACACGCACACATTATTTGGACTCCATTTTATTTTTTTTTATTATTATTTATTTTCCATGTCAGTAAACGTATTTCAAATGAAACACAGAAAGGAAATGTGAAATAATCTAGAACACAAAACCACCACATAACTAGTAAAACAACCAAAATTGTATGCAAAAGTGAACAACATGTGTGAAATCTGAACAATTACAGTCCATTTATGCACACAAGTGCAGTATCAAATGTCGTGCAGTGATTTTTATCAAAAATAATCAGACCAGAGCAAAAGCTAGACGAGCGAATCGTGGATACAATCATAATCAAATGTGTTAAGACTCGTTCATCGCTCACAATATTACTATCAAAACACAGCAAACACAGTTTCACTAAAAAAACAAAACAAAAATTCAATTAATATAGAACACACTCACAATGTGATGTTGGCAAACCTGAAAGCCTCCAAATTACAGGTACATAAAATTTTTGCTTTCTAGTTTCTTTGAGAGTCTATTTCAACCAGATAATAAATCATAAAAAAAAATGTCCATCCATCTTGGGTATTTGTGGCTATATGTGCGTTAAAGTAACATTACAATAACTGATTGAAATTTTTTTTTTTTCATGCAATGGGATAAATCCAGAAGCGTGCAGATGCGGCTGCATCCACGGACTATTGATGAATTAAAATAAAGGATACTTTGATACCTAGCTTGATTAAAAATAATAATAAAAACAAAAGTAACACAATTGTGACCACTTGAAAAACAGGAACAAAAGTCAAAAGTGCAGCTCGACATTAAAAATGGAAAACATGATAAACTTGTGATAAAGCAGAAAAAAAGACAAACCTTTGGGAAAAAATAAGACTAATTCCCCACAGTTTAGTGTGCCAAAGAGGCTCCCGGTAAATGCATCTTCAACAAGCATAATGCTGAGATGCTGTACATATTTCAAGTCTTTATTCAATAATAAAGCCTGGCAAAAAAAAACTTTTTTTCAAAATCTTTGGGGTTTTATTGCCGGATACATGCAAACTACTACAAGATGAATTCGAATGGAATCCTACAAGCAATGCTATAATTATTCTCTTTGATTTATTCCATGCACGCAAGCTCATTTACGCTCATTTAAATGTGTGCATGGATATTGGCATTCTGCATGATCTGGAATACTGAATATATATTCATTTTTGTTGGCGCACCTAAAATCTGAACATCATTTCTCTATCTGAAGGCCAAAGGTGTGGCGTTGGGCAGGGAACGCGTGGGGCGACGGCGGTTGGCGATCAGGGTGTGTAGGCCGGCGGAGGCTGGAATTGGTTGGCAATGTCATAGTCAACTGGGTATGTTTCACTGCTCTCCTCCATCTCTGAGAGGAGCTCCAGGGCCTGCTCCTCCTCCTCGGTGGGGTAATGACGGAGCAGGTTGGCCGCCGTGGCTAAAATGGAGGCTCCGCCTGCACCGGCCACCAGGTAGAAGCTGATGGCAAAAGTGACGTAGATGAGCGAGCCGTGGTACTTCTTGTGCTGCTGCTGCAGGGACAGAATCAGTTCCGAGGCCCAGTAGCAGAAGCCGATGACTGTAGCGCACTGGAGCACTGCAATACAGAGATTCATGAAGACATTAAAGGGTTAGTTCACCCAAAAAATTAATTGCTCACAAAAAGTATTCTCGTAGCTTTGTATAATTGCGGATGAACCACTGATGTCACATGGATTATTTTACAGATCTCCTTGCTACGTTTCTGGACTTGAGAACTATAACAAACAAACTGGCTTTAAACAAAAATATCTAGCCATTTGAAATTAGAGGCAACCACTGCATTTTAATCATGATCTGCACGGGCAGTTGTTTTTGATTTGATTTAGATTAATTTCAGGATTTAAAACAAAAACAGAATGGTCTGACTTTAGTTGTTATTTATTTATTTGCTACATAAAACATCTGCACGAAACAAAAACAGCAGGTCTGAATGGGATGCACTCTCTGACAGCAGGTGGCGCCTATGAACAGGGTTGCCAGGTTTTCGCAATAAAACTAGTCCAATGGCGTTTCGGGGGGCGTTCCCCTGTAAAAATCGCATTCCGGGGGTTAAATATCACGTTATTGGGGTCGCTTTAACCCGCGGACATGAACAACCACTGCTTTAAAGGGACAGTTCTCTCCCAAAAAAATGAAAATGTAATTTAACCCTTGTACTGTGCTGAAAAACCTTTACTTAATTTTGTGTTCCCATCAAAAATTGCTTTTATGTCTCTCATTATGCTTTGTTATCATCAGATCTTGGATTCAATCTTTTTGTCAGCTTGTTTTCTTTTAGGCCCCATCCACACGGAGACGTGTTTAGCTGTATACGCATACATTTTGTATCGTATAGGCATTTCGTCCACACTGATCCGGCGTTTTGGGAGAGTGAAACCGATATTTTTTTAAACCGGGTCCCAGAGTGGATAAATCTGAAAACGCCGCCCTTGCGTTTTCGTGTGGACAGCGAATCCGTATATTTTCTGAAACGATGACGTTATCATCCCACGTCTCGCCCCTAGTCAAACACCGCTACGTCACGTAACAGCAACAAAAACATGAACAAACACTGAACCATTGTCTTTTTATTAACTAACATTAACACAGATTAATAAATGTATTGTTCCATGTTCGTTTGTATACCGCGCGCAAGGTTTATGCGCATAGTCCAAGCCTTCTTCTCCGTTTTTAGTGTATCTCTGTGGCAGAATTACAGCGCCACATGCTGGTCTGGCATGTATACTACATCGTTTTGTGTCGTTTTGTGGTTTCGTGTGGACACAGATATTTCTTGAGAGGAGGGGGGAAAAAAGATAATTGGCAGTTTTTTTCATTTCTTCTGGGAACTGATTAGTTGTAGGCCTCATTGATTTGAGCTTATGCACCTCAGTTTTTGAGTGAAAAAGCATTATTTGTGCATAATTTTGGCAATGTTCACTCAAAAACTGAGGTGCATGAGCTCGGATCAATGAGGCCTTTGATCAAACAGTTTCAAAAAGAAATAGAAAACGTATTCATAATTTAAACTAATTCAAAGAAAACACGTTGACAAAAAGACTGAATCCCAGATTTGGTAATAATATAGCATTATGAGAGATTTATAAGCCATTTAGTAGGCTCGTCAATTTTGATCGGGAACACCACAAGTGTAACAAGATCGGGGGGAAAAATCCTAAAAAATTATAAAGTTGTTATACCCTTTGTGAGCAAAGTCAGCAAGTTTCAGTCCATTGCAACATTAACTAGGATTTTAGGGAAAAAGAAAATCCATCCTCCATGTGATGTGCCTTAGGTATGTGTGTTGATTATTAAATCCAAAATTGAATCTATTTATCATATAAAGTAATTGTATCTCTTCACAAGACTTGTATTAAACCACTCAATACGTATGGATCCATTTTATCATTCCTTTATGACCTTTTTACTTTTGGTGACCAGGACTTTCAATGGAGGAACAGAAACCTCTCAGGATTTATTAACAATAGTCTAACAGTTTTGGAATTACATGAGGGTGAGTAAATGACGACGGCATTTTCATTTTTGAATGAACTATACATTTAATACTACAAAAAAATAACTCTTTATATTAAGAACTAAATCCTTCATGAATTCGTACCTGTGAGGATGTGAGCGAAAGCGTATCTGCGTGTGATCTTGAGGGCTGGATGTTTGGGTGCAAAGACATCCAACAGAAATGCCGTGAGGCTGCACAAAATGCCCAAGAAACAGAAAGCAGCAATAACCCGCAAGAGCAGGATGGACTGAGAGTTGATGCAGTAATCTGTGAGAGAGAGAATGAACAAAACAGTTTATCATTAAAAGTGCAAGTAGAAGAACTCAGTTTTTGACTTCAAAATGTAATCATGCACACTTCCGTTCAAAAGTTTGATTGCGGTTTCCACAAAAATATGAAGCATCACAGTTGTTTTCAGCATTGATAATATTATTTTAATATAAGTTTCTTGAGCAGCAAATCAGCATATTAGAATGATTTCTGAAGGATCATGTGACACTGAAGAGTAATGATGCTGAAAATTCAGCTTTGATGACAGAAATAAATTACATTTTACAATATATTACAATACACACAGTTGTTTTAAATTGTAATAATATTTCACAATATTACAGATTTTTGATCAAATAAATGCCGCCTTGGTGAGTAGAAGAGACTTTTTCAAAAATCTTAGGTAGTTTATCTTAGTTTGGGATACCAACCCTCGAGGAGTTTGTCATCTATATATCCCAGGACGTCTGCAACACCGAGCTCCTGTCTGGGACAGTTTCCACCATGGACACGGAGCCAGGCTGGTTCTGCCAGGGCCGTACAGAGTGCAGTGATTGAAAGCGCCCCGGGCAGTGCGGATGCTAAACTCCGCTCTGGATGTTTGGGTAGAGCTGTTCCAGCTCTCCTCCTCCGGTTTCCAGGCGCAGCTGTTCCCGGGGGTGCGTACATGGTCTTAAAATCTCTGAAAACCCTTGATTAAAACAGTAAAACTCAAATATACCGGAGTGAGAGTGGACAGATCTGGGGTTTGACCTCCGCTGGGCACTACAGACAAACAAATCAAAACAAAAATCATGTTACAGTAATCTGGAGCAAAACATGAGACTACGTGTGTTTTAATTCATGGAAATGACTAAGAACTGACTGGAACAGAAAGACAACATTTGTAGTATGTTAAGAATTTTATTGATTGATTATACAAATTATAGATCAATAATTAGAGCAGGAAAATCTTGTTGTAACCAATAAAATAAAGAAAATAATATTCAAAACGAATAATATTTTACATGTAGGCATTCAGCAGATTCTTTTATCCAAAGTGACTTATTTTTATTTATTTTTTTTAGTAATAAAACGACTTATTTTGATTATTAATAACAAAACCCTATTGGTAGGCAGACACTAATGATAATACAGCAGCTTAACCTACTTGTTTATAACTTTTAATCATTATTATGTTAACTAATTTTAAATGATTAATTACTGGTCAGAATAAACACACACGTAATAACAGAAAAATACATAAACAATACTGCGATTTTTTTCAATCTTCCAGTTGTATAACAAAAGATTAATAGTATATTATACCTTTTATTTAAACAGTATATTTACCTGTTTGCTGTAACTGAAGCTCCTCTGTCAGTTTTTAATCAGATTTGATCATTTATGACATGAACTGGCCTTACACCTAAACAAAACCCTTTAAAACCTTCTCAAATCCCACCAAAATATAAAACAACTTTGTAAAACAAATATATAATGTGTTCAGTTTCGAATTATCCCTCTGGTCTCCGCTATATCGTAGACATTTTCGTGTGTTTTATTGTTGGTTTCCAGTAAAAAGCGTAAACAATAGTCCGTCCACTTCCTCCATCAGACGGAGAGCTTCTCCTGCCTCGGACTTCCGTTTCCTGTGTGTTGCCGTTTGAACCAATCAGACGCGTCCTTCAGCGGACGTCAGTCCTCGAGCACATGCATGACGTTTAATGTGAAGAATCGAAACTATTCTGAGTAGTAACTAATTACATGTAATCTGGATTACGTAATCAGATTCCAAAAATTAAGTACTTGTAATTAGATTCAATTACATTTTAAAATACTCCTAATCAGATTACTACAGTTACTTTTTTATTGATTACATGATTACATATTATTTACACAATAGCAATAAATTACTCATAATTTATTGATTCTCCCCAATTCCTATTTTTCATCTTTTTAAATGTTCCTTTTTAAAATAGCATACCGCTTATATACTCTCAGAAAGTCTTCCAGTTTTGTGGACATTCACACAAAGACCAGTCACTAGTAGTCAAGTGGCTATAATTACACAGAAACTTGAGAGGCCACACAACATTTGGCCATACAAAAATCATTTTCAGGGGGGAAAAGTGTTTTAGCATTGCATCAACTACTGATAAACACTTTAATTTTTATTTGTATTATTACTCAGTAGGTTATTTAACCATGTATTACTACGTCTTTGGAAGGCTTTTGTCTTTCAAACACATTAAAATGCACATATGTTATTTCTTATTTACATGTAATGCAGGCATTCCCAAACTTTTTTGTCATCTGAATCACTTTCACCTAATATACAGTGGTGTGAAAAAGTGTTGGCCCCCTTCCTGATTTCTTATTTTTTTGCATGTTTGTCACACTTTAATGTTTCAGATCATCAAACAAATTTAAATATTAGTAGAAGATAACACAAGTGAACACAACATGCAGTTTTTAAATGAAGGTTTTTATTATTAAGGGAAAACAAAATGTTAAACTCACGAACTCCAGTTTGGGAAACCTTGACGATGCACTTCATGTTATTAATAACAACGAATGGAATATATTTTCTTACTTTTTGTATCAACAAGATTATCCTATTTAAATCAATGTGATAAATGAGTTTGGTCCAAAGTAATCTAAAAGTAATCAAAAAAGTAGTCAATGTGTAATGTAATGGATTACGTTACAAACTATTCTTTTTGTCTTGTAATTTGGAATCAGTAACGGACTACAATTTGTAAGTAATCTACCCAGCTCTGTCTGTTTATGTGATGAAATATAAGATTTCCTCATAATACACGTATGTTCATGCAGAGATCATTTCACTTTTATTTTACCCTAACTCTTTCACTCTTATTTCACATTGAGCTATTATAGGAAATTAAATAAACCTAATAAACTAAAACAGAAATTGAAGACGTGCTTTCAGTTAAAATAAAACAAAATGTATTTAAATAAAACATTTAAAAAAATAATTAATAACATTAATACAATTTAATTAAAAAGCTAAATTAAGTTAAATGATAATAGGTCTCACTGTATTTGAAAGATTTTAACGTCAACCGTTAAAATAATTACGTAAAAGCTAATTTTCTGCTCATGAACGCTTTCGCTACAGTCCTGATGGTGGCGCTGCTGCCGCGCTTTTGTATCAACAGGAAAACGCTGAAGCACAAAGCAGGAAGTGTGAAGCTGCTGAAAAACACAAGTCTTGAAGTTGTGACATTCGAGAGAGAACCGTGTAGCTGACGGTGGAGGATTTACATGTCATATAATCACAAATATCATACAGGTAACGTTATCTGAAATGAAGGGCGCTCTGGAGCTGCTGCAGAGGGTGAGCGCTCACCCGGACGCTCGCTGCTGGTACGTCGCGTGGAGCCCGTCTGGTACTTTGCTAGCGTCATGCGGCGGGGACCGCGCGATAAGAATTTGGGGTAAAGAAGGTAAAAATACAACGTGCATGTTTTGTTTTTTTACCACACATAGCCGTATGAAACCATGCGCTTATATATGAAAGCTGAAGTATGTCAAGTTGAAGTTAATATGTACAGTGATGCACAAAAAGCAAATAATATAGGCTATGCAACACCCTACACACTGGCTACACTATTTTACTATTTGCTATTTATTTAACATGTAACGTTACTTGCAAAACGGTATCTGATTATAGATTATTTTGTACATACGTATTTTACACATATATATTTATTTCTATTTATATATACATACATACACAGGCGATCACGTTTTTTTGGAATAGTTCGTATTTTTAATACAGACTGCATTTATATGATCAAAAATGTTGGGATAATTCATATTTTTGTAATGTTTTTGAATGACGTCACACAAAGACTGCATTTATATGATCAAAAAAATACCGCAAAATATTCTGAAATGTTATTACAGTCTAAAATAGCTGTTTGCTGTATAAATATAATTAAAAATGTCATTTATTCACATGGCAAAGCTGAATTTTCCAGACACCTGAAGACTGGAGTAATGATGCTGAAAATTCAGCTTTGATCACAGGAATAAATTACATTTTAAAATATATTCAGATAGAAAACAGTTATTTTAAATTAAAATAATATTTTACAATATTACTGTTTTTACTCTATTGAATAAATACAGCCTTGGTGAACATAGAAAAATACAACATAAAAAAATCTTAATTATTCCAAACTTTTCACTAGCAGTATATATTCATCTTATTTTATTTTTCTTGTTTGTGTCTTATGTGTCTGATCTTTATTCTCAGGGGACAGTTGGGAATGTAAGTGTGTCCTGGCTGATGGACACCAGCGTACAGTCAGAACGGTGGCCTGGTCTCCCTGCGGGAAATATCTGGCATCAGCCAGCTTTGATGCCACAACATGCATCTGGAAGAAGACGAATGATGATTTTGAGGTTTGCTTTTGCATAAGCATAGTTTCAGACCCTTAAAAATTCAAGGAAGCGACATCATTCTTAATTATTCCAAACTTTTCACTGGCAGTATATATTCATCTTATTTTATTTTTCTTGTTTGTGTCTTATGTGTCTGATCTTTATTCTCAGGGGACAGTTGGGAATGTAAGTGTGTCCTGGCTGATGGACACCAGCGTACAGTCAGAACGGTGGCCTGGTCTCCCTGCGGGAAATATCTGGCATCAGCCAGCTTTGATGCCACAACATGCATCTGGAAGAAGACGAATGATGATTTTGAGGTTTGCTTTTGCATAAGCATAGTTTCAGACCCTTAAAAATTCAAGGAAGCGACATCATTAACATGTTGTCAGACTGACATGTCCGTCATGTGTGTTTACAGTCCCTGACAGTGTTAGAAGGTCATGAAAACGAGGTCAAGTGTGTCACCTGGGCTCCGTCTGGAAACTTACTAGCCACCTGCAGCAGAGACAAAAGTGTTTGGATCTGGGAAGGTATGTCAGGAACGAATAGTCTCTCTATAGCAAAAATACAAACTTTTTTTTTTTTTTTAGGATGACATGCACTGACGAATAGTTCATAATAAGACAAGTAATGTGTTTTAGGAAAGTACATTTTTGATTTCATTTTCACTTTAAGGTTTGATTTTGACTTTAAGGTAGCAATTTTAAGTTGGTATATGTATCATCATAATTCCCCAGTTAAGTAATCAAAGTAGATTAACACAACTGTTTTGTATTACAAGTTTTCTGAAAGGTTGTTTAAATATGCAAATAAGACATTATCTAATTAAATATGCATACAATATTTGCATACATTTCACGAAATCTGATCATTAGATAAAGCCTAATTCTTGTTTCATTTTGTAGGTATATTAGAGTTAAAGATTTTACAAAATGAATGTTGGATATCTATTTTAATTGCTCTATAAATCAGAAAATACTGTTAACAGCCAGGAGAAAAAAAAAATTTTTTTTTTTATATATATATATATATATATATGTATATCAATCACCACATTTTAGGAATAAAATGTTGTATAAATCAGGAAAATGATATATAAACAAACCTTCAAAATATAGATGGTAATAAAACTGTAAAGTGCTAATGAAGTGGAGATTTTTGGCTCAGTGCATGAGAAAAAATCTAATTTTGAGAAAACAGCCTTGTATTGTAATTGAAATCTACAGACAAAAAAGATAAAATGTGATAAAATAAACATTTAAATGTGTATTTTGGATGTTTTCTTTCCAATAGTCCAAGGGTCTTCAACCAGGGGTCCGCAGTGGTACTGCAGGGAGTCCGCCAATTAATGTTTGACCAAGTAATTAAAAAAATAAATAAATGAAACCAGGGTAAAAAAGTCTATTTTAAATATAAGCACCCTGAAACGAAAGCAAAAGGACCCTCAGTTGATACTGCAATGATATAATATTATTGGCGAACCCGATTTAGCAAACGCTCCATTGCATTTTGAGTTTGAGGTCCGAGAACATGAAATGTTCCTATTCACTGCGTGTTTTTGTAGGTGAGAGTTGTAGCCAATCACAGACAGATCTCTTGAATGCAATGTGCAATCAGAGGTGTTTAAAGGGATAGTTCACCCAAAAATGAAAATTCTGTCATTAATTACTCATCCTCATGTTGTTCCAAACCCGTAAGACCTTCGTTCATCTTCAGAACACAAGTTAAGATATTTTTGATGAAATCCAAGAGCTTTCTGACCCTGCATAGACAGCAATGCAACTGAAATGTTTTATGGCCCAGAAAGGTAGTAAAGACATCGTTAAAATAGTCCATGTGACATCAGTGGTTCAACCTTAATTCTATGAAGTTACAAGAATACTTTTTGTGCGAAAAGAAAAGAAAACTCTCATGTACTCTCATGAACGCGAGGATTTATATGCTGCTTAATATGTAGCTCTGCTTGACACATGACTTGGGGAAGTCATGGCCTAATGGTTAGAGAGTCGGACTCATAACCCAAAGGTTGCGGGTTCGAGTCTCGTACCGGCAGGGGTTGTTGGGGGGGGGGGGGGGGCCCAGAAAGGTAGTAAAGACATCGTTAAAATAGTCCATGTGACATCAGTGGTTCAACCTTAATTTTATGAGGTTACAAGAATGCTTTTTGTGCGAAAAGAAAAAACTCATGAACGCGAGGCAAAGACTGATTTCTATCAAAGGCTATATGCTGCTTAATATGTAGCTCTGCTTGACACTTTTTGTATCGGGGGTCCCTGCTCCATGTCTCTATCGCCTAAGGGGTCCTTGCCTTGAAAAACATTGAAGACCCCTGCACTAGTCTGAAAGCTATGCAAGCAAAATAGCTCAAAAATTGACCAGTGCATGAAAAAAACAACAGTTTTTTTTCTGTAGTGTCTTGACTTACAGTAATTATTAAGATTACTATTATTTGTGTTAAACCCTTTATTTTCCTTCTAGTGGATGAGGAGGATGAATATGAGTGTGTAAGTGTTGTGAATTCACACACGCAGGACGTGAAACATGTCGTGTGGCACCCAACACAGGAGGTATAATATTCACAAACGTGTTATCCAGCACTCTCATTCTTAATGTTTTCACACACATACAAGGACAGCTGTTTTTCTAAAGGTGAAACTGATTTTCTTTTTAGCTTCTCGCATCAGCCAGTTATGACAACAAAGTGTGCATTTATAAAGAGGAGGATGATGACTGGGAATGTAGAGCCACGTTAGAGGGTCACGAATCCACTGTTTGGAGTCTGGCCTTTGACCCTGAGGGACAGAGATTGGCGTCTTGTAGCGATGATCGTACCGTGAAGATCTGGAAGGAGTCGACGCTTGGAGATGGTGAGAGTGGTAGGATTTCAATACGTTTCTTATCTAGAGTTTTACTCTATATTGCTATTTAAGTGTGTAGTTCTTGGCTCGGCTGTGATGGTGATTTTGTCGCAGGTTCATCAGACGAGTCTTGGAAGTGTGTATGTACCTTGTCTGGATTCCATGGGAGAACAATATATGATGTTGCATGGTAAGATGCACTGTGTTAACTTTAAGTCTTAACCCTATAAAGCCTACTGTATTATATTTGATATGTGAATTTCTAAGGCCTCTATATTATCAAAATGATCAAAACTTGTTACACACGCTCAATGATCGCTCAATCATCATTGTATTGCATTGTATTATATGTTTTGAAACTACAGAGCTTTGATCATCTAAGCATTTAAACATATTAATAGGAGATATAGAGTAACAACTGCTATTAATATCATTTTATGTAAGTAGTCTGTTTTACTATTACAAGGATCTCATTCATTTACAAGCTGTGAGAATTTCATCTACTTTTTGGTCATATAAATATCAGCATCTGCACCAAATTGCACATTTTTGAATAAAATTGAGTGAAGGATTTTCCTCAAGTTTGAGTTCCATATTCTCCTATATCATACTTAATGAGCCTTAAAAGCCTGATGTATCAAATACAATACTCAGTCACCTTTTTTTTCAAATGAGGGCCTTAAATGGGAGCAAAAAGTGTGAAATTAATAAGTTGCATGAGGGATTGTTTTCACATTGTTTAGGCATAATTTCTATGACGTTCGGGCATAGTTTCTGCGTTGTAGTTGTTGGGAGCAGAGGAATTCAAGTCTGAAGATATTTTTTGTAAAATGGTATGCTGAAAGTTGTATTTTTAAAGTTTAAAGAGTTGCTATGAATACAACTCTTTGTGTGCTCCTTAGATATTACTTTTGAAGAATATATTGTATTTCCTTTCTTCAGAATAATCCCCGATTTATTCCTTAAATTGTCTTTAATTGGTCTTAAAAAGTCATTTTTATTTTATTTTTTTTAAACAATTTACCTTCATACAACCTGCAGAAACCCTGTCGTTGGCTCAGAGTTCAGAAGCGACGCATGTCATTTTTCTTAATTTTGACGTTCTCTCACGTTAGGTGTCGTCTGACCGGTGCCTTGGCCACAGCGTGTGGCGATGATGGAGTCCGAGTATTCAAAGAAGACCCCACTGTTGACCCAGAGCAGCCCGTCTTCTTCATGTCAGCCCATGTGCCCAAAGCCCACGGTCAGGACGTCAACTGCGTGTCCTGGAACCCGAAGGAGGCGGGACTGCTGGCCACCTGCAGTGACAACGGAGAGTTTGCCATCTGGAAGTACAACTCTGATTCCTGAGCTGGTGAATGACACTTGATCAAACAAAAGCACTGAAGGAGTTTCATGGCTCATAATGGGGAACAATAGCTGTTCTTATTCGGACTGTGTGTGTTGGCAGCACCGGTGAAATGGATCGAAAGACAATACACTCTTTAACTCGCCTCATTCTCTGTTAGTGTTTTTGATGGGTCATTTGTAACTTATCAGAATTTCTTTTGACCGTATGGATTATTTTAGCTTTATCTGTGGCTTAAAATACCTTCAGTGCTTTAATTAAATAAAGCTTCTTGATGCTGAAGATAAAACATCCTAATTTGTCTTTTTATCATGTCCCAGAACCATCAATTTAGATTGATATTAAATGCTTTCAAAGTCTGTTTAAGGAATTCATCTTTAATAGTTGTGTTAAAGTGACTTTTAATAGACCTTAGTCAGGGTAAATGTTTATTTTTTTGTTGCGAATGAAAGTGAGGCTGTGAGGGATTGAAGTACAGTGTTTTCAGTGGATTGAACTGTTGTTTAACAACATGCTGATTCTGGGAAAAAAAAAACTTTCAGTAAACAAAAGTTTCATGTAGTGCGCGCCATTGTAAAGACTGTAAGTCTGTCTTTCACAGCCTCATTTTCAACAATGTTAAATGAAATACGGCGTCTAACCTGACTAAGATGTATATAAGTTAAAACATACCATGATACAATCATAATGGATGTTTATGGGGAATTTGAGAAGGTTCAAAAGTAGATATGCCATTTCTTTTTTTTTTACAAAAATCTGTATGAGCTGTAAAGTTGTTTTAATTTGTCCTTTTCGCAGTGTAATTTCTACTTTTCTGAGAGTTACTGACGAAATATTGGATATTTTACATGGACAAGGTTCGATTTTAGCAAATTTATCACAAGCTGACGTTTAAAAATGTCCTGTTGTTATACTTTCACTTAAACTGTGTTGAAATTATTTTCTGCCATCACTGAAAGAATGTCAAGTTGTATTTGACCTGGTACATCGTGGTGAATCGACTCATTCTCAGGCCATCCAAGATGTAGATGAGTTTGTTTCTTCATCAGATCAGATTTGGAGAAATGTAGCATTACTTGCTCACCAATGGATCCTCTGCAGTGAATGGGTGCCGTCAGAATGAGAGTCCAAACAGCTGATAAAAACATCACAATAATCCACATGACCTCAGTCCGTCAATGTCTTTTCAATTTAAAATTTTTCTCTTCACAGGTATTAATTGATGGACTGGACTGGTGTGGATTACTTGTGGATTATTGTGATGTTTTTATCAGCTGTTTGGACTCATTCTGGCGGCACCCATTCACTGCAGAGGATCCACTGAAGAGCAAGAGATGTAATGCTACATTTCTCCAAATCTGTTCCCATGAAGAAACAAACTCCTCTACATCTTGGATGGCCTGAGGTTGTCAATTTTTAGCAAATTTTCATTTTTGGGTGAACTATTCCGTTAAGTCATATGAACTAATGAAGTCACCGTCACGTTTCATAAAACTCTTACAAATTATACATGGATGTAAGAATGAAGCAGAAGGTATATGATAAATACTCATCCTAAAGTAAATAAAGAACAAGTCTTATGAACTGCAGGGTGATCTTTATTTAAGTCAGTCAGGTCCTAATGGAAATCCAGATGTGTGTCGTCAAATAACTGTCCATGTTTAGTATATGGTAGTTCAAAAAGAGCACAAATAATCAAACAGTAGTTGACTTTCTGTGTCCAGGTCAATGGTGTGTGTGTAATCAGGGTTTTCTGTCTTTTTTGCGTAGGGACTGTCCTTCCCCAGAGAAAGCAATGAAGTTACTGGCTGTATCATCCTGGAGACAAGAATATATGATTAAAATAAGAGATTTGCAAAACCTCTACATAATTCTAAGTATTATGCATATAAATGTTACTGAACAAGTGTTTGGTCACCGGTTTGCGTTTCCTAATATATGAAAAGGGGGATTCAGTATGCCAAACCATTTGTAAAACATCATTTGTCATGTGCAGAGAAACATCAGTCAGGTCCTAATGGAAATCCACATGTGTGTCGTCAAATAACTGTCCATGTTGAGTATATGGTAGTTCAAAAAGAGCACAAATAATCAAACAGTAGTTGACTTTCTGTGTCCAGGTCAATGGTGTGTGTGTAATCAGGGTTTTCTGTCTTTTTTGCGTAGGGACTGTCCTTCCCCAGAGAAAGCAATGAAGTTACTGGCTGTATCATCCTGGAGACAAGAATATATGATTAAAATAAGAAGAGATTTGCAAAACATCTACTTACTGCTTGTATAGCAGTGACAATTTATTAAATTTGTGAATATAGAAATGTTTTGTTTAAACCCTAAACCCTTATTTGCTCCATAATTTCACTTACCGTTTCAATTTTGCGGGGCTGTTGTCTGGAGTTACGGATGAAGGTGATCCTCCCGATTTTGAAATCATAGTTAGGAATTCCTCTGTATAAAATATATATGAAAAAAAAATAGCAATTAAAATGAAAGTTTAGGTTAGACCGTGAGAATGAGAGGAGGTGGGTGGGTACCGCTTGATGTCACTGGGATCGAGGGGTGCTGGACTGGGCTCAATGCCTTTCTTCTTCCCATCTAGACGATTCCCAGAACCGGTAAAGGCCTGCGGAGAAAAACAGGAAGGAAAGACACCAAGATATTAATCGAAGTGAACAAGTCTATTTGTCAAGGTAACATTTTATTTCAAAACAGATATGAAGGTGCACGAGACTGGTGTAATGATAATCGTTGTTTGACTTACTCTGAAACCGATGTCCATCTCATAGTTACTAGGATCAGTTTCCTCTTCCTACCGCAGAATGATAAACATGAGCGTTAAGAACAGCATATATGTGAATTATAATCATAATAATGTGCTGTAGTGTGATGTAAAGGATTTCTGTTTGTCAGAACATACTGTTGGTTCTTCAGGACGCTGCATGTGTCTCTCTGGTTCTTTGTAACCAAGAGGAGCATCAAAGTCCACCTGAAAGACAAAAATTGTGTAATTAGATACACTTAGGTATTCAGTAAATGTAAAACAGATTTGATCAAATGTACAGCACCATTCAAAAGCTTGGGTCAGTAAGATTTTTTATGTTTTTTTTTTGTTTGTTTTTTTTAAGTCTTCTGCTCACCGAGGCTGCATTCATTTGATCAAAAATACAGTAAATTCAGTAACTGAAATATTATTACAATCTGAAATGTTTTCTGTTTGAATATATTTTAAAATGTTATTTATTTCTGTGATCAAAGTTGAATTTTCAGCATCATTACTCCAGTCTTCAGTGTCACATGATCTTCAGAAATCATTCTAATATGCTGATTTACTGCTCAAGAAACATTTATTATTATTACCAATGTTGAAAACAGTAGTGCTGCTTCATATTTTTGTGGAAACTGTGATCCATTTTCTTTAATGAATGGAAAGTTATAAGGAACAGCATTTATTTGAAATAGAAATACTTTGTAACATTCTAAATGTCTTTACTGTCACTTTTGATCAATTTAATGATTCAAAAGCTTGGGTCAGTAAGATTTTTTATGTTTTTTTTTTGTTTGTTTTTTTTAAGTCTTCTGCTCACCGAGGCTGCATTCATTTGATCAAAAATACAGTAAATTCAGTAACTGAAATATTATTACAATCTGAAATGTTTTCTGTTTGAATATATTTTAAAATGTTATTTATTTCTGTGATCAAAGTTGAATTTTCAGCATCATTACTCCAGTCTTCAGTGTCACATGATCTTCAGAAATCATTCTAATATGCTGATTTACTGCTCAAGAAACATTTATTATTATTACCAATGTTGAAAACAGTAGTGCTGCTTCATATTTTTGTGGAAACTGTGATCCATTTTCTTTAATGAATGGAAAGTTATAAGGAACAGCATTTATTTGAAATAGAAACCTTTTTTAACATTATAAATGTCCTAACGTATCAATTTTGATTAATTGAATGCATCCTTGCTGAATAAAAGTATTCATTTCTTTCTTTCAAGTCCTACTGACCCAAACTTTTTGATCAGTAGTGTATATCAGGTATATGACATGTCAGGTATTATTGTGTGCTCATATATTATGTGAACTGTGTAAAATAAAAAAAGCATCCCTACATTCATGTCACACTCAATGATGGACACCGCCTTGTCCGGTTTGGTTTCCATGACACGTAACTCATAAATCTGGAAGACAGAAATTTCTGGTTTAGTGCATCAGGGTTTTTACCACATAAATCATTACACGGAGTAACAGATATAATCACCTTTTCATTATAATTGATAGCGATCACGTCTCCTGTGGTCAAACAGGCGAAATTCCTCAAAGCGTTCTCTAATCTAAAAAAAGAAGATATGAATAAACCAGCACGTTCAGATCTAGATATTAGTTGTTATAATGTTAAAAAATATATATTTTGTGTAAAAGGTGCATGGTATTTTAGCATACACAGCTTTAGGATTTGTGATATCCAGGAAGTCTGGACTCTGCGGCTGGAATTTGGAGTATGTGGCCACCATGAGATTCACACTCTCCACCTGGACCAAACCACCCTCCTCCAACAACAAGTTCTGCATCATCTGAGGACAAAATGAATCCAATAATGTGTCAAAAGCAAAGTGCCTGCAAGATCCAGTAAGAGCCTATCTGCTGTATGTGTTATACCCAGTGAGGGAGGTAACAGATGCCTTCATCTGCCACAAACTCCAGAACACCACAGTGTGTCATTCTGTCTGAATTCTTGTTGGTGAGTTTGAACAGCATGGGGTATGTGATGTTAAGTCTGCCTGAAAAACAAACCACATATAATCACCTAGACATGATAGGAAATACAGTTTTTCATATTTAATTAAATGCATGTAACATACTTAGCTGGTCCAAAGCAGACGGGGGCATAATTACTGAAAGTACAACATGGTATCTGCATTAGTTCAGTGAAATGCAACCCAAATCTACAAAATAAATTCTCTTTCATGTAGCTTTGCTTGCAGTGTTGAAACATCTTTACAGTATTCTAGACCATGACATACTCTTTCCTCCTTTTTCCACATCTGAACGGTCGTTGGGCCCTGCCAGCATGGATACAGAATAACAGCGGTACTGGGTGGAGAAACGGTTCTGGAAAACCCGGCCCACATGGGGCTCAAACATGTTGAAGGAGAACTGATGGAGGAAGAGGACAGAAACAGTCAAAACACAAACTTTGAAGAACACATTGTTTGTGTTTGTGAGTGTGTGTGTGTGTGTGT